GATTCTGATTTTATTTCTGTAGCCAAGGTAACCTAGTTGTTGTTATTAATTAATTTTCTTTGGATACTAATATTTGAATGCATTGGGGTCATTGATAATACTTCAGCCAATGCCTGTAGAACTAGGTACAGGTTTAAATATCCTGTAACCTCCCATCTCAAGTGCATGGAAGTAAGTGGATCCTGGGACAGAGGCAAAGGCCAACACTTAGCTACACTAAGAGGAAACTTTTGAAAAACATATAAATAAAGATGTTCCCACCCTAGCAAAGATGTTTCCAACATTGTGAACTTCAAACTTCAACACAATTAATAAAAGAAAAATAAATACAAGAGGGCAAGGCAAAAATACCACCATAACTCCCAAACTACCCAAAGCTGATCAATGGGGCATTGAAGGGGAAAAAACAAAAACCACACAGATTATTTACTTCAAATGTTATCAGAAGAGATAACAAAAAAGATCAATAAAGTTTTTGTCAAATTAACAGAAGATTTAAGTAAAGAGGTGATGGGCCAAATGAACAAAACAATCAAAAAATCTAGATAATACACTAATAAAAAGATAGCATTTAAAGAACATAATGCAAATATTAATGACTAGCATAGAAAAGATTTAGTGTCCTTATAAAGGGTAAAAAAATTAATTCAGGAGATTAAGTATTCTATCAAAAGTACAGCCAGCAGAAGTAACTAATATGAAGGAAGAGTGTCACAACTAGATGACAGGGCAGCATATCAGTGACCAATTAATGAGAGATACCTTACAAACAAGATAACATGAAAAATGTATCAAACAGCTCCTAGATGATGCAAAGAAGCCTAATCCAAAGTTAATTAAAATTAGTGAAAAATCAGAAAATAGCATAAATGCTATAAAAACGTGTTTACTGAAATAGTAGCAGAAAACCTTCCAAGTAATGTAAAGAATTTAATACACATATAGAACTCCAAATAGTCATAATCAAAGAAGACTATCTCCAGGATACATCATAGCCAGTATCCCAGAAGTCCAACACAAATATAGAATCTTAAAATTAGTTCTAAAAAAGCAGTGAATCACATATAAATGTAAATACATTAGAATTATAGCAGACTTCTTAAAAATAAAACTTAAAGGCTAGGAGAACTTAGAGTAAACTGTGTCAAGCACTACAAGATAACAATTTCTAACCCACGTAATATATCTCATGACATTTTCTTTCAAAATATTGGAAAAATAAGATCTGCCCATGATAAAGAACACCTAAGGAAATTCATGAACACAAGCTAGTGCTCCAAGAAATTCTCAAGCATGTCCTAGACAGAGACAGTGAAGCTAATAATGATAAAAAGTCTAATGGAATGAGTACACCAGGTTGACTTAGTTAAGCAAAGGAGAAAGACAGGGAAACAGACAGGAAAATAAGGCAATCAAAACAATAAATCAATGCATATCAGTGATAACTCTGAAAGTTAATAGTTTCAATTACCCAATCAAAAGAACACAGACAGGAAGAATGGATAAGAAACAAAATCCAGTGGTATACAACAGACACATTTAAACCAAAGGACAAGAAACAATATTCCATGCAATGAGAATCTGACAAAGCAGGCATAACTGTAGTATATTCAGACAGATTGAACATCAAGCCAGAACTGACCAAAAGAGGCAAAGAAGGTCACTACACATTGTTTAAGGGAAAAACCCATTAGGAATAGAAAATGATAATCAACATATATACACCAAACAATAGTGAACCCAACTACATAAAACAAATAAGTACTACTAGACATAAATGGCCACATAAATATAAAAAACAAGTGTAGTGAGTTAATTCGATATTCTACTCTCAAAAATAGGTCAAATAGACAATAAGAGGAAATGCAGATGGATACAAGCTTCAAGCAATTGGACTTAATAGATATCTACAGAGTTCCATGTAACAAAAACAGAATTATACATTGTCATCAGTAGGACATGGAACTTAATACAAAATAAATCATATAGTATTCAATAGACTAAGCTTAAATAAATGTAAAAGAATTGAAATGGTAGCATGCATGTTATCAGATCATAGAGCAGTAAAACTAGAACTCAATGATAAAACACCAAATTATGCCAATGAATGGAAACTACACAATACCCTCTTAAATAATGAGTTATAGAAGAAATCAAGGAAGAAATATTCTAGAAATAAACAATAGTGGCATTAAAACACACCAGAATATATGGGACAATGAAAGTAGTCCCAAAACAGAAGTTTATAGTTGCGTAATGCGCATGTAACAAAATACAGCTAGGCCAAATAACCTAAAGTTGCATTTCAATGTTCTAGAAAAATAAGAATAATTCAAATGCAAATTTAAGGCAGGGAAGTAAATTATACAGATTAGAGCAATAATCAATGACATTGAGAACAAAATATCAGTAAGTTGGTCTTCAAAACAGTAAACAAAATATGCAAACATTTAGGGCTGGAGATTTAGCTCAGTGGTGCCGGCACATGTCTCACAAGCACAAGGACCCGAGTTCAATCCCCAGTATGAAAAAAAAAAGCAAAAAAACAAACAAAAAAAACCTTTAGCCAATCTAACCAGAAAATGGAGATAAAAGACCCACATCAATGTAATTAGAAATTAAAAGATGAAATAGCATACACTGCTGATATAAAAAATATTAACAACTACTTTGCAAGCATTAATAAATTGAAGAATTCTGAAGAAATGGTTCCTAGGTACGTATGAATAAACAAAAATTAACCAAAGGAAGATTTTAAAAACATGAAAAAGCCAATAACAGACAATAAAATTGAAGCTATTATTAAAAACTTACCAACAAAGAAAAGCTCAAGTCCATTTGGATTCACTGCTAAATTCCCCCCAGAATAGTAGTGAAAGCAATGCTGAGTAGGAATAGAAAAGTGGAAAGTTCCACAATCCTGGTCTTGAAGTTATATTATAAAGCTATGGTGAAAAAAAAGAGTATGGTACTGGCACAAAAACAGATATGAGTCTCAGTTGAACATAATGGAGGATGGAGAAATAGCGCCCAACACATTCCAAGAAATGATTTTGGACAAAGATTCCAAAAAATGCACTGTAGGAGACAGCCTCTTTAATAAGAGCTGGGAAAACTGGCTATCCATATGTAAAAGATTGAATCTGGGCCCATACCTCTCCCCATGTATTAAACTAAAATCAAAATGGATGAAACATCTAAATGTTAAAACAGAAACACTTAACCAACTGGAAGATGAAGTAAGTGAAACTCTTGAAGTCATAAGCATAGGCTAGGATATCTTTTAGATATCTTCCCAAAAGTGTTAAGGACATCATATTACAGTGATAAATGGATACCCATGTTTATAGCCATACAGTTAATAATAGCTAAATCTTGGAAGCAGCCTTATGTCCATCAACAGATGAATGCATAAATAAATTGTGGTATTTGCATAGAATAGAATACTATTCTGGCATAAGATAAACATGAGTTGCTTGTAGGACAATGTACGTACCTTGAGACCTTAACGTTACATAAATTTAATCAGACACAGAAGGTTAAATATCATATGGTATCTCTAAAATAATGAACCCATTGTAAATAAAGAGCAAAATAGAAGACAGATAATAGGAAGTAGGAAGATAGTTCTTTCCAAAATGGGAAGAGGATCAAGTGATGGAGGGAGGGTGAGGAAGGTGAGGGTAATTGGATGAAGAAAAATAATTAAGATGTGTTATGTTCGTGTACCAATTGTACACATACCAACTCTACAAGCAATGTAAAAATTATGTGCTGCACACATGTAGGAAGAAAAGAAAGTGCATTAAGAGTTAGAGGGAGGGGGAAGAGAGGGAGAAGGGAGTGGAAAGAAATGGGGTGAAAAATAAGAATTAAGATGTATTATGTACATGTACCAACTCCACACATTCACACAAAGTATGGAAACATTAAGTACTGCAAACATGTTCTAATAAAAATTTTCAAAATAAAGATGGAATATTAAAGAAATATGGGAACATTATCATGGGAAATTATCTACCCCTTTTTTGTAGTTTACATTATCATGGCCAAGTTAATGTCTAGACATTTTTCTTTTTCTAGTAGGTTCATTAAATAGCTATAGGCACAGTCCCCAACTTTCCATTTTATCCAGTTATTAACCTAATTTCTTGATTGCTGTCTATTGATTAGTGTAATTATTATCAACCCATTTACCCTGTAAAGCAAAATTTTTAAAAGGTTGCATGGATAATCTTCTTCAAGGTTTTGGCTAATTTATTTGGCTGAGTATAGGAAAGGGGAAAATATAGGACAAGTTGTGACCCTAAAATAGGGCGACTGTTTTGCTTTGAACACACTTATGTCATCATTCTTGGCACTTACTGAAGTGGTTCTATAAATTTTTTTGTGAATACCTACAGTTGTACTGTTACAGCTGCCTCCATATCCTGAATCGATTCAAAACCCTTACTTTTCATGATCATTTTGACTTTTGGGAAGAACCAAACATTGCAGAGTGACAGATCCAGTGGATGAGCAGACGCGAACAGAACATAATGTTTTCACAAGACTCCCTTTTTCTTGAATGGCATTTAACAGCAGCCTTCACCATATTTTTGATTAGGGTTCATAAAAACACTCACAAAAAAGGACTTCCAGAACTGCTTCAGAATGTGACAATAAAGATAGGATAAGTATGTTCAAAGTATGGGAAGCATTTTAAGTTGGACATAAATATTTTGAATATAAGCATTCATCATATATTTTGACCACTTCGCTCACTGTGAACAAAGGCAAAGCACCATAGCTTCCTCTAATTTTTCTTAATAGGAGGGGTAACAAACAGTGCACAAATGTAAATCTTTGTGAACCAAACCAACATCCTAGGTGTAATAAAAATATTTACAATGGAATATTTTAAGTGTGTACATAGTGTTTGAGAAGACATACTTTTGTTTCCATGACTTATAATTTAGAGTTATATTAGCAAATCACTTCGAGTCACATTTCTTACCTTATTGTCTCTTGGATAACTTTTCATACTAAACACACCGACATTTTGCCCATACTTTCCTGTAAAGAAAGAACATTTTACTGTGTATAACCTAGAGTTGTATATGATACTTATATTTTCATAATAATAAGAACTCAGGAATAAAATTATTTTTGAGCAATATCTTCAGTGTGTTTATGAACTGGCTAAATTTTGATGGAGGGACATAGAAGAAATAGAGGAATTAGAGCTGATGCATGAGTTGATAAAATTTTATGAGAATCATAAATAGTCAAATTTAAAAGATAAAAGCTAAGCTATGTGTGAATGGGTGGCACATTCCAGTTGATGAGCAATTTTTAAAATATCAAATGTCATGAACAGTTCAGGACATCTACACAGCCTCAGGACATCAACACATGAACTCTGATGAAATATGTCCTATTTGCTTGCCAGTCTTTTCTAAGTGCATCCTGAAGGTTTCCACTGAAGAGCAAACTCAAAGGAACTTCAAATTTATGATTGCTTGAGCAGAATAAAAAAAATCACATAGTAACTTCTGAAATGGAAGGTTAAGTAAATTTAAAGTGAGATCACTGCTTTATGCCATCGGTCTGAACATGATTTGGGAGGATTAGAGATAAGTGAAGCCTAAGGCTGATTTAGATGAATGAATCTTTGGGAGCTGAGCCTGAAGAAGTCGAATGAAATACCTAAGCAATAAAACTATAAAATGACACTGTGAAGTTATTTTCTTTTCCCTCCAAACTACCAAAGACTAAAAGGAAAAAAAATCTACTAAAGGTGCAAGGGATACCAGCATGCTTATATTGGAAGTACATATAAATATATTGGCTCAGGTTTCTGGTCAACTTAGTTCCAAATGTATAGGGCAATAAATTTTCAGAACATTCTGAAGGTGCCATATGTTTTTAGCTACAAATCTCAGCATTTTTCATCTAATATATATTCTTCTACCATACAGTCTCAAACATTTCTAGAAAAATTTTGCCTCAGAATAAAATGAATGAGTCTACAAACAACTTTTCTTTCAGATACACTTCTTTCCTAGACCTTGTAAGTTATACATAAATCTGTCTCAGATTGAGGACATCAAAATAGAGTTCTTCACCAAAAGAAATATTTATTAAATAGTGTCATAAACAAAACCATGAGGATACAAAAATTAAATGAATGATAGCAAATTACTGATAATTTTCTTTATATCAGGAGAAACAAAAAGTGCATTATTTATACTATATATTTTAAAACTTACAGGATTATTTGTAAGATACTATTATGCTTCTTGTGTAATAATCAGGCTCACAAATGTAAAGCTACACCTTTGTTAAATGGCTGAGCCAAGAAGAGAGTCTAAGCTTCAAGATACCAGAATGAATAATCTTAAATAACCTAAAATTTTAATTTATAACTAGTGAGGCTAATAGAGGAATAAGACAAGGATCTTTATCAAAGAGAATCTAAAATGCATGCTACACCTCAATACATCAGACATTCAAATATGGTCATAACAATATCGTGTAGCCAGCATAAATTAGTCAATGGAACAGGCTTATGAAACAGAAAATGTAGGCTGTTTTATAAGTGTCTTCTTTTAACAATATTTCAAAGTTCTCTCAATTTTTCCTACTTTTTTCTACTCATCAAAGTTGGTGCTTACCCACTTTCAGGCACCATCTTCTACCTGCCTGAAATGTATAAGTTTATGAGACTGGCTTGGGCATTAGTGGATCTCCTAGGGATTCCCACTTGTACGTTCCAATTGTCTTTGCTGTTGCACAAATTGTATTCTTTGGCTGATTCTGATCACAGTGTTAAAAAACTGGCTACAACACAAATATGAATAGATATGAGTTCCTGACCACGCCATTCACACCACATGCCCCCTCTTTCCACGTATATCTACAATGTTTCACTAGGTGTTACCTCTGCCACTTTTCCACAACTGAAAGGATTGGACAACTTGCAATATAACGTGTTTAATTATGTGAAACCAGCAGGGTTCCATAGAAAAATTCATAGAAGTCCAAATGATATAGTTCTTTAGGAATTTTTCCTGGCATTTACAAGAGGCATGAAAGAATTTGGGGCAAAATAGATTCCAGTAAGATTTTCCTAGTTAACCTTTCCATTAAACACAACTCATATATCCATCCCCCAGTCTTAGAGCAAATTTATTGTAAAGAGTTATCATAAATAATAACTAAATAAATAAGTTATCATAAATCCCATAGTCAGATTTTTTCTCTCAATTTTTTATTAGTTTATGTTTATAGTACATAATGATCACATTCCTTTTGGGGAGATGGTACGTATATATAACATACCTTCATTACTTTTGTATCCCTTTTTACTCCCATCTTTTCCCCTATTGCTATCTCCTGGTCCTCTATCTATTTGCAAAAGATCTATCTCCCTACTTCTTATTATCTAGCTTTTATTTTGCTTTTTGTTTCTGTTTTGTGTTTCTCATATAAGAGAACCATGTGATATGGTTTGACTTGCTTTACTTAATATTTGGTCACAAGGTATGTCCACTTTTCTATAAATGACTCAAGATTAACTTTGTGGTAAAATGGTACTCAATTGTGTATAAATAGCACACACTGTTTATATATATTCATCTGTTGATGAACATATGGACCACTTGTAAGATTTAGTAATTGTGAATTTTGCTTCTGTAAACATGAGTATAAATGCAATAGTCAAATGCAATGTCCTTAATATTTTCAGGACAATACATAGAAGGGGTATTTATATTAAAGAGTATCTCACCAAACAATGCAACACAATTAAAAATCTGTATCTTCCACTTGTGAATGGTGAATTAAAATCCTAATTCAATAGTTTAATGAGATGTACCAACTCATACAGTAGACGCATTATATCAGAATCGTTGAAAGTACAAACTAGGAAACAGGCATCAATATTGTTGAAGTCATCCATGCAATTGTGTAGGGAAGTTCGGGAACCACTATCTTTGCCCCTATTCTTCCTAACAAATTATTCAATGTCTGTATAAATTTGTGCGAGCAAATGCTACTCATCTTTCCTTATAGCATTCAGCACTAAAATTCATATGTATGTATCCATCTATCTAGGTCACTTGGAGTTTGGCACTTAACTTCAATTATCAACAGCATCAAAGCTTCAGGTTTTATGAAATATCATGCTTAATTTATAATGAGCTTTAGAAAAGATTACCAAGAAGAAAATATATTCCATCCTATTTATAGAATCACAAAAATGTAACATAGGTAACAATTGAATATATATTTTAAAATGGCTAGAATTTTCACTTTAATTCATGCTTATACAATTTAATTGATTTACACCCTAACATTTATTTTAACATTTTATTTCCAATTCCAAAACATGAGTAACAGTGTAGAATCTTGAAACAAAGCCTATAATTATGATGAGACTCCTCCCCCTCCCAAACATGTTTTTAGCAAGCTAGAATAAAGGAAGACCCGTTTTCGGTGATCCTCTGGTAGTAATTGGCCTCAATAAACCAGGGGCAGAAGGATTTTCTCCCAGAGAAGCAGTTATACAAGAGCAAAGTCAACACAACTGAGTCTCTTCGTAAGACAGAAAACTTTTAGAAAACCCACTGGACTTATGGAGAGATTCTACAGGTTAAACGTTGGAAACATCATGGAATTTTCACAGTAAATGTCTCTTATCTAAAGGCACAGACCGGTGCTGTATTTTCAAAAAAATGTTATTGCCTTCTAGTTCTTCAGGAGTGCAGAAACATTTGTTGAATTAAATGAGATTATCGATACAAATTGGTAGCAAGAGAAGAAAGGAGAGCAGGAAGGAGAGAGGTTGGGACAGAAAGCTTGGGATAATATTTTATTCACTTCCTCTGAAAAGACAGATCAAGATTAAAAGTTTTCTTCATAAACTTTTTTCTTTTCTATGACAATAATTTCTTGTGTATTCTATAATTATATCTTTTGTCACATAAAATGACTGCTCTATGTAATTGCTCATCATCTTTTTATGATGTAAATTTTTAATATTTGTAATATTTGATGCATTTGACATTAATTACACCCTTTCTTATATCAAAATTCTCAATGTTTTATTATATTTTGACCTTAATATAACATTTTAAGTAGACTATTTGCTTTATGGATATTTGTGATATTTTCCTTCAATGAGGAATTATAATTTAAATTAGAAAGCTCAATTTTTTTTTAGTTTAGGAACTTTACTTTATCTTTCCTGTATTTCAACAGATATTTACTAACAGATACATGATAATAATAAAGACATATACACATGTGAGAGGAAATTGTGATTCCAGAATTCTATAACTATTTAGCTTGTTCTGAGAGCAAGAAAAAAATTCTCAGACACATTATTTTTAAGAAAAATACATGAAGTTTTGTCTTTCCTGACATAATTACTTAATAATATATCTTGTCTATCCAATACAGGATTCAAGTCAATAATTCAGAAATGGGGAACATGCTGTTAAAGAAATTATAGAGCTGGTATTTTTGTACTATTAACAAAATAAACATGTTTTAACATTTTTGCTGGGAAACGCTCAGAGTAGTGTAAAACATTAAAATAAACCACAAAGAGAAAGATTATTACATTTGACCTGCAGGAATAAAAGCAAAAGTTTCTGGGTTAAAAACAATGAAATTCACATATGTACTCTTACTTTGGGGAATTAACTCAAAATAATGGTTGGAAGATAAAAGAAGGAAAAATCTACTAAAAACAGAAAAACTAGTGAATGAAATAAAGGATGTAGTAATGACAATAACTAACAAAAATATAATGCAGGTATACTTATTTGCAGGTACAATATTGAGGACTTTTTGGTATTATTCGATTCTAATAGTTCTTTTTTGTTTTGTTTTGTTTTGTTTTGTTTTTGTTCTGGGGATCAAACTCGGGACCTTGCACTTGTGAGGCAGGAGGAAGTACCAGTGAGCTAAATCCCAGACCCTATCAGTTCTTTCTACTCATCCAATTTGATCTCCACAAAAGAAAAACATAGGCAATATTCAAGGAATTTGTACAAGAATTTTCCTAT